ATTGGCGTGATGTTGCACAATCACTGAGAGCGATGTTTCTGCTGGCGTGGAGGACGAAATCGGCGAGGGGACCGATCCCAAACACGGCTTTGGCCTTTCTCGACACCACGTGGATGCTGTCTTTTTGGATGTTCCTGCGCCGTGGCTTGCAATCGAGAACGTCCTTCACATTCTCCGGCCAGGTGGCATGCTGTGCACGTTCTCTCCATGCATCGAGCAGTCGCAGCGGACAGCGCAACGTTTACGAGAGGAACCCTTTGAGTTTGTTGATATTCGAACCGTGGAGGCGCTGACAAAATACTTCAAGCCGTCCTTTAAGCGTGATCGCGAGGAAGATGGACGACCGTCCCGCCCCAAGCTGCGACCTACATTGGTATCAAAGGGACACAGCGCTTATCTCACCTTTGCACGGCGGCGACTTGAGCGCATTCCCGGACTGGACGATGAAGATGAAGAGAGAAACGACGTCAGCCCCCGAAGCGGTGAGGAAGAAAACGCCGCAAGCTGAATAAGCCTTGCCAGCGTGGTCCTGTGCGTGTGTGTGAGGAGAGGGGAGGTAAAATATCAAAATCCCCTCTTTGTTTTCTCCACAACGACAACCACAACAAACACATACTGTTCCATTTAACGAAGAAGAGAGAAGCAACAGCAATATCCTTCTTGTAAATACATGTTTATATATATTTTTACCTGATTGATGTTTCACGTGTGGGTTTATGTTACGCATGATTTCCTGAACTTTTTTTTTTTTGATTTATTTGTTATTATTATTTTGCTTCTTTAGAATAGGTAGGATGGACTTCAAAGGTCAATTGGCTTCGGCCTTGGTACTTAATGTTACACTGAAGCTACTGAGCTTCACACTGTCCACCCTCCTGACACGTCAGCTTGCACCAAACGAAAATGGCACCAATTTTTCAAACCAACTGTATTTCAATACTGTTCTTTTTCTTGCACGGGACTGTGTTCGAAGTGTGAACGCCCGGCATGACGTGCGGGAGAGGGCGGAGGATGGCCGGCTGGTTCTGCAGGTGATGAACTGCGCTATGGCCTCTCTTCCGTTGGGAGTTTTAGTCATGGTAGTGCTGGAGCTGCTGCCTTTTTGCGGCATTCATGTGTTTCCCTCTTTGGCTGCGCTGTCTCGTGTGGGGGATATCGCTACTGCACTGGGGGAAGCCAACAATCACACGGTAGGGTTTCCAGAGGTGCTTCTAGCATTGAGTGTCGGTGTTTTACTGATGGTAGAACCATGCATTGCCCTGGTTCTCTGCTTCGATTACTCACGGTTTATTATCACCTCCGAATTCTGGGCGTTGTTGGCACGCTTGATAACGTGTTTGATATTTGTGAAGTTGTGTGGTGGTCTGGGGGGGGATTTGTACACTGCGCGCCTGTGCTTTGCCACGGGGTCCCTCACTTACGCCATTGCGACTATGATGTATTTTCTTTGGCTGTGGAATAGCAACAGTAGTCCTGAGGACAGGAAAGATAAAAAGGGGGAAGGCGATGATCTTCTACAGAGGGCTCGAAGGGGCGCAATCGCAGCACGATGGGGTGTCGCATGTCTCACTTCCTCCTCCATTTCGCCGTCGCTGCGGTTGCGTGTGTCTCTGCCGTGGTGTTTTCTTTCATTGCGCTTGGCGGGTGCGGAGGTGGCGAAGGAGACGCTTCTGCTGCGTCAATTTCTCAGCGAAAGTTGTTTGCGTCTTGTGCTAACAGAAGGGGAACGATTCGCTCTTGCAACATTTGGATCGGCGACGGTGATGGGTCAGTACGATCTTATTGCAAATCTCGGGTCCATCATGACCCGCCTTGTTTTTCGCGTGTGGGAGAACGCCTGCTTTGTGAAGTGGAGCCGTGACGCTGCGGGGGGTAAGCCGGAGGAGGCCATCAACCTTCTTTTTACCATGCTGCGGGTTGCATCGTATTTTGGTGCGGCAGTTGTGCTGTTGGCGCCACCAGTTGCGGAGGGGTTTCTCCTGAGACTGTTTTCCAGCCGTTGGGCTTCCCCGGTGATGGTGCAGGCGCTGCAGTTGTACTGTTACTTGCTGCCGCTCCTGGCATGGTTTGGACTGCTGGACGCATTTGTGCGTGCGACGGCATCGGCATCCATGCTGCAGCTTACGCAGCGTGTGATGTTGGCTCAGGCTGCGGTGTATGGTGTTGCATGTTACGTGGTGCTGCACCTGCGCTGGTTGGTTGTTGAACCGGTGCCGGGTCTCATCGTAGTGAATATCATCAGTATGGCACTGCGCTGCGTGACGTGTGTCTGCCTGCTGGTTGCGGGGCCCGCCATGACGACACCGCGGAAGGGTCACGGTTCTTCTCAGCCACTTTTGCGGCTGGGCGCATTTAAGGCCGTTTTCAACCGACGGATTGTGCTCGCGTGGGCGGCTCTCTTCGTGTGCACCCGGTGCACCCCATGGGGGTTTCTCTCCGCGTTTACTGCGGCCCCTCTCTTTGCGTGGGCCGTTGTGAAGTGGGACACAGAGCTCCGCCAAGTGGCATGGAACGCACTGCGTCGCTGAGTCCCTCGCATACTAATGCAGGCGCAAGAGTAAAAAAGCAAAACAAAACAATGTTACATGAAATAGAACCGAAAAACACTGTTGTGTCTGTTGTTTCGCAGGTTTTTTTTTCTTCCTTTACTGTTGTTGTTGTTGTTTCTTTACCAACCCGCAATGCCACAGCGGGGAACATCATCGTCCACCAAAAAAAAATTTTTTTTTTTTTACTCCCCTCTTTCTTCTTCTTCTTCTTTCTTTTTTCTTTCTTTTTTTAATATTCCAATTGTCTCGTGTTTCGGGAGCAGCTTTTTTTTTTTTTTTTCCACCGTTTACTAGTCGAGAGTAGTCTTGTATTTGCATCCTTTTTTTATTTCATTATTTTATTATCATTACTTTTTTTTTTTGTTTCATCGCATTTCCTTCCGTTAATTTAATTGAATTTATTTTTTTCCGTATATTTTGTTTGTGTGCTGTTACGGTTTGTACGCGGTGCCACATGCTTCGTCGCTTCAGTGCTTTGGGGCTGCAGCCCCGCCGGTGGGGCCTGCAAAAGCTTTCGGCTCGCTTCTGCCTCAGCATTAACGTGCCGACCATTGCGGAGTCGATCAGCTCCGGCAAGGTTGTAGGGTGGACCAAGAAAGTTGGCGACGCCGTCAGCGAGGACGAGGTGATCTGCCAGATCGAGTCGGACAAACTCAACGTCGATGTGCGGGCGCCGACAAACGGCGTCATCACGAAGATCAACTTTGAAGAGGGGGCCGTCGTCGAGGTGGGCGCGGAGTTGTCAACGATGAAGGCAGGGGAGGCTGGCGGAGCGGCAGCGGCCCCCGCGATGCAGCCACCACCACCACCACCACCGCAGCAGCAGCAGCAGTCATCACCACCACCGCCGCAACAAAAACGGTCTGTAGAAACCCCAGCACCGGCGCCAAAACCTCCGCAAGTTGTGACCACAGCGACCACCGGCTCCGACCCACGTGTGCGAAATGTGCGCATCTCTTCCATGCGCCATCGTATAGCGGATCGTCTGAAGGCGAGCCAGAATACGTGTGCGATGCTGACGACTTTCAACGAAATTGATATGACTCCCCTCATTGAGATACGTAACCGGTACAAGGACGACTTTTACAAGAAGCACAATGTAAAGCTGGGATTTATGTCACCTTTTGTAAAGGCCTGTGCCATTGCACTGCAGGATGTACCCGCAGTCAATGCCTCCTTTGGTACGGACTTTATTGAGTACCACGATTTTGTTGATATCAGCATTGCGGTATCAACACCACGAGGACTTGTTGTTCCCGTTCTGCGTGATGTACAGAAGGCCGATTTTGCTCAGATTGAAAGGCAAATTGCCGACTTTGGGGCGCGGGCAAGGGTAAATAAGCTGACGCTGGCTGAGATGACGGGCGGTACATTCACCATCAGTAATGGCGGCGTTTTTGGCTCGTGGATGGGGACCCCAATCATCAACCCACCGCAGAGTGCCATTCTCGGCATGCACGCAACGAAGAAGAAGCCATGGGTGGTGGGGAACGAGATTAAAATACGCGACATTATGGCGGTAGCACTGACGTACGACCATCGCCTCATTGACGGCAGCGACGCGGTGACATTTCTTGTGAAGGTGAAGAACCTCATTGAGGACCCCGCCCGCATGGTGCTTGACCTCGCGTAGGAACGGGAGGGCGCATGTATGTTTGTCTGCCTGCCTGTGTGTCTGCCTGCCTGTGTGTGTCTGCCTGTGTGTCTGCCTGTGTGTGTGTGTTTGCATGTTTTTTTTTTTTTTTTGCCCTTCTTACGGATGTGTTTACACGGCGCGTCTGCGCGCATTAAAAAAGCAATTCGTTGATGTTTTTTCTTTTCTTTTCCTTTTCTCTCTCTCTGTGAGGAGGAGGAGGGGGGGGGGGGGGGG